GGTGGCTTCACCCTCTGCAATCAGGAAAGTTTTGGTTCCAGATACTTGCAATGCAGCTACCTGGAGATTCATCCTTGTCTTTGCCAGGCATAACACTGTCTCCAGTGCTTCAAGAACCAATGCAGCATTTGATAAAGCAGTTGTGCAATTGCTACTTGCATGAAAGATATCGAGACCTCCACCATGCAATGAATCATTGGGGGTAGCTGCTTGGATCCATTCACTGTTTAGAGTGCACATGGGATTCATTCAAAGAAAAAAAGATGTCTTACCAGTAACCGGTGTTCTTCACAATGTGTAGTCCACATATACATTTGTCTTCCATCTGCTTCTCCTCTCTCCTCAGAGTCCTTCCAGGTATGAGTCCTGTGATTGAGAGGTAGAATTGTTAGAATGTACATTTGGGCTACACTTCTCAAAGAGCATCGGTTACTGGTAAGTAACCTTTCTTTTAGTTTTAGATTGTTCTTAAAGAAGAGCTGAAAGAATCATCACCTTTTTGTATTTGCACTGCTTCTGCTTCTGTCCTGGGGTCAGAACTCAAATACTGCTCTGAATCTCACCCACAGAAGTTAGATGAAAAAAGGTCCTAAGATTACCTGATCCATTAAAAAAAAGACTGTTCCCTGGCATAACTTTTCTTTTTCTGTTTAGTTATTTAATTATACGATATTCCTCATTGCCAAAGAGGTAATTACTTCTGGCTATGTATATCCACAAGTGGTTTTGTGAACAGTATGTTGATGGGTTAATGTGAATCATGTTCTTTTAAACTTTCACACTCTGAAAACCCTATTATTATCAATTTGCTGAGAGTTACCTTGGAGAACTGTCACAAATAGCAACTATCTCTGGGCTTGACCAACTGACTGGTAATGCTGCTTGTTATGATTAACTTTCAACATGTTTTGACATGAATTTTTCATGTTTGGGTTATTATTTGAAAATTCTTTCTGAATGTCACCGAAGTATAATATATGCATCGATGAATCTAGAAAGTATTCCCCTAGGTGTTTGGTAAGCTCTTCGTACGTTGTATTACTCAAACTAATAATCAGTGGAAACTCTTCCCATACTCTGAGCTTGCTTACTCAGTGCATAACAAAAACAAAATTTAGTACCAGGTACAAATAGGTAGTGGGTTACTTTAGAAAACTATGAGAAAAACAATTATTATCAAGAAAGAGAAGTTAAAATTATGTCTGTCAGTAGGCTTACAGTAAAAGCGCAAAGACTGCCTTTGCCCCATAAGACCCCTCAAATATTGACATTTGATATTTTTTATATTTAAAGAGTATCAATGACATTTTCTGTGCTTTTCTTGTGTTCCATAAATATATTCATTAGCTTACTCTTAAAGTATTTAGCCCTTAAGAACTTAACAAATTATGCAAAAGATGTTATCTAGGATTAATAATGGAAGGAATTATTCTAAAGTCCTCATTCCAGAATGGTGTAACGCACTGACATGTAGCTTCTTTGAGGTTGTGAAGTCAAATGGTACAACGGTTTAACGTTTAGGGGTGTCATTTCAAAAAGTGTGCTGGTTTTGGTTTAGTTTGTTTTTATTCACCTGAGGAACTTCAGGGGAAATTTCTCATAAGAAAACATGAAAATTAAACACTAGAAAAAGAAGATATGCATTTCATGCTTTTCCAAGCTATTACTGCAGATGGTTGTTTTCCTGAAAAATCAGTTGGTGCTTCAGGATTTACCTTAAAAGAGAAATTTTTATTAATAATTTTTAAACTTTTACATTTACCAATGGCACGCATGATTTTACCTGTAATTTAACCTAATTAATATGAATATAGATAATCTCTATAGCACTAAGAGATTTCTTTAATTTGGCTGTTGCATTTTCAGATGGTTTTACAAATCCGTTTAAGAGATTGCAAACTGAAGTTATTAGTGATTAAAAAATTGCACAGGAATGAAACTGTTGCTCATGCAAGAAAGCATGCACAGCGGGTGGCTGCCAAGTGTTAGAATTAGTGTAATTGTTCTGAAGATTCAGAGATACTGTTTTCCCACAGACTTCATGTCTCTGGATGCCATTCAGCTGATGCCTGAAGGAATGGGTGCAAGGTCTATGGCTATATTTCTGTTAGTCCTATTCCCAATCCTGACTGCTGGGCTACAGTTGCTCTGAAACAGTCAAACAGCACCTTCCAGTAGAGAAAAAACCTCATGCAAAGGTTATTTATTCAGGCTGAGTAAAATACCATCCATAGTAAGAATAAGTCTTTTTGGTACAGCATAGTTTGCCTTTGAATTGTAAGTTAATTTAATTTGGCCATCTTCTCAATTAACTATCTATGCACCAATTAAAGTTTCATCTAGTATTGTGAATACATTTTGCCTTAGATTTATAAAAACAATTACGTATGTAATTTTCCAAACTGTCTAGTGAGAAGTTTCAGCATTTAAGCATAAAAGAAAAGCTCTCTGTTGAATAGCACAGCCATAAACTTTACATTTCTTTGTACTGATATCTGATTGCAGTCCTGTATTAGATCAATGGAAGCAGTGCAGGTTAATAACTTTTTTCAATTACTGATGAACAGTTTTCTCTTCAGAGGAGGCCAAATCCTTTACTGAGGATGATGTGAGTGAGTTCTCAGAGTTATGCTGATTTATAGCAAAAAGGGTCTGGCCTATAGTTTGTAGAAAGTAATCAAAGTACACCCATGCATAACTAATATTTGAGATCCTTTGTAGGTGTAGTATACCCTTATTTTGACTGATGAAGCTAGAAAAACATTTATGTATTTACCTTTCATGGTTAAATTAATACAGTATAAGTGACAATTATCATGGGCCTCGTTTTGAAAGCGGGTATAATGCAAAGTCACTTGGTAATTCAGTTTGAGTGAATGAAAGTCAGAGTGTTTGCATGTGTGTTGTTAGTGCAGAGGAAGGAGAAATGTTCCTACAGTACACAATTTAAAAAGCAGTCTTAAACTTGCAAAAACAAATTGCAATTAGAAAAAGAGGCTGAGGCTTATCTTGGTTGAAAATTTTCAAAAAACAGTAATGATTTTGGGTGCCTCCATTCTTTGATCTCTAATTTGAGATTTTTTCTTTTAAAGACTCCTTAAAATCGGACCTTTTCAGATGTTTAAAAACAGGTATCCAGGCTTATTGGCAAAGAAGAATTAAAAATAAGGAATTCTGTGTTTTGTTTGAATATGGAAATGGAAAACCAGCTTGGAGATCCCCTTGCCACACATAATTTCTGAAGCATGCTTACCAATTTTGCTTCTCCCTTTGATACACACTTCTCAACTTGAGTGCATTGGAAACATCACCAGTAACCCTCTGCAGACAAAGGTTTCTGTATAGTTTTGAAACTTAACCTTACAGGTACTGAATCCTAAAGTGTAAAGAAATAAAGGTATCACTTGAAAAGCAAATGTTCTTCTCTTTTTATACAGAAAAAAAGCTCTGAATAAAACATCTGGATAAACACTGTTTAAGAATCTTTATGTTAACTATTAAAGCTTAAACTTGTAACCTGAATTTATAAAGAATGTCACATACTGCACTATTCCGCACTGCAGTATTCATTTTATGGTAAGACAGGAATGAAAACTAAATTTCAGGTAGTTCAGGTACTCCTTACTTTCTTATGGCATTAATGCTAGGTTTAAACATGCACACACACATGTAAAACCGCTCTAGTCTATACAGGTATTTAATTGGAGATTATGTCATATCACATTATGTATGTGTATACATTCATGTCAATTTATTTCATTTTTATAGATAAGTCATTTTCAGTATAAGGTATTCTTATTAAAATCTTTAAAATGTGTTACTTGCAGTAAGTACACACTGCTTTCTGAAATAACATGATTTTTTATGGTAATGACTTTGTGGCAAAAATACATCTGAAGTAATTCCGTAATGGATACACTTCAAAGCGCTGCATAGAGGCAATGGTACAAAGCCTTGTGAGGTGCCTATCTCCCAGAAAGACAGATAGATTTTTAGTATGAAGAAGACTGTAGGAGTATTGTTGGCTATTTGCTGGTCGAGGGGCAAAGGATTCTCCTGATGATGCCGTGCAGGTGGAGTACCTGACAGAGGATTGCCTGTCTTTATCTGAGGTGTGAGTGAACGTATCTGCAAAAGCCTTTCTTTCCACAGTATGGGATTGTCTGACTATCTCAGAAAAGGGCTTTTACTCTTTTCTTTTTGTTAAATCCCATTCAGCTTTTGTCTTTGTAGACAGTCCTTTGGTCAGTCCATTTCTTCCTACAGTCCTCCAGCTCCTTAACCTTCTGTAACACAAAGATGTGAGAATATCGGTATGTGGTTAGGACAGCCCTCTCATGTTGGTAGAGACTGAAAAGTAAAAATAATGTGTTCAGAACTAGTTAGTGGGAAAAACATGAATGAAGTTTCCACAAGTATCTAGTCATCATTTCCCCATTCCCACATTCAGATCACTTTTAGGAAATGTGTTTACGTGTATAATTAAAATGCTAATTTTTTTACTGTTTCATTTAATTTTGTCATTTAGGTTCACTATGAATATTTATATTATCTTAAGCTTTTTCCTTGCATTTCTGCAAAAATGAATTTTCAATAATCTTAGAGTATTTCTGTTCCAAAACTTCAGTGTCCGATAAAAGGATTTCTGTTAGCTACACTGAAAACTGTTAGGTCTTTCCTATAAGTCTCCCTGGGACCAAGATTTTTTCTGTTTTCTGTGTTACAAGCTGTAACTTTGGTTACATTATAGCCCAGGCAGAATACTGGTATCTCCTTAGTACCTTTAGGGTATGATGTCAGTAGTTTTAGATTCCAAATGTCACTCTTAATGTGGAATGCCCTTAATAAAATATTATATTTTAGTAAAAAGTGAGAGAAAATAAAGGTATGAAATTATAGCAATTTCAGTATAATCAAGATAAACATGCTATATACAAATATTTAAAAGAAACTACTGTGAAAATGAAGGATTCATGTTGTTCCAATATTATCATTTACAGACTGAAGAATTTGCCATTCACTTTTACTAAACTTAAAGAACTTGCAGCTTTGTGGCTTTCTGACAACCAGGTAATGACTTTCAATATTCATATTTTCTTTAGTAACTAGGGATCTTAGCAAGGGCCGTAAATGAAACCTATAATTTGATACATGATTGTAGTAGAATTTTAGAAGTGTTTGCTCCCAGTCCAGCTTTATACTTTCATACCAAGGTATAGATTCTTCTGGCTGTCATTTATTAACTTGGAAAGATCACCTTTGCAGGATTTATTACTTGCATCTAGCTAAGCTTCTATATCCTTACAAAAGTAGTAAATAAAGGCCAAAAGCATCAAGAGAATGTTTTGTAAATAGAAATTCAAGAGGTAAGACTTTGTTATCAAACTTGTTATTAGTTTGTCCCATCCTTTACTCCATCTATGCTTCTATTCTTGTCGTCTTCCTTTTCCCTTTTCCTGTCTGTGCTTCCATTCCTGCATATTTTAAACTCCATTAAAGTCAGTGGGAGTTTAAACCTGTAAAAGATGCACAAGAACTCTTAGTCTTCTTTTGGAGGAAACTCTCATTTAAATTCCTTTTGAATTTAAGTATGCCTTTCTTTGTTCCAAGGGGTTTGGTTTCACTACTATATATTCTTTAGGATTCCATTTTAAAACAAATTGTGTAACATGAACACTGAGAAATGCAACAAGTTCAACCAGCATCTGAGCACTAAAATAAGTCTTGATCCTTTCCAGGATCGGTGGATAGAATAATTTTGCACTTCCATAATTTAACTCCAAGTTAAATTAGGAGAAAAACTCAATTTGTACAATGTTAGAAATGTTCAGCGTACCTAACAGGTTTTAATAATCTCAATAAATTCTCATAATCTCATCTTTCTCACTTTGCAATAATGCCCATGGTCAGATATTATACCTCTTTAACTGAAGTTGATGAGGATAATTCTTCAGGGGCCAGTTATCATGCTACTGGAAATTAATCCATCCTTTGATCCATATGAAAAAGCCACAGGGACTCAGGTCCTGCGGCTGCCTGTTTGCAGGAGATCGTGTGCTTATGCCTGTGCTGAGCACTGCTGGTTGCAGAACGCTCAGAGCAGAGCCCGTGCCTGTCCACGGGGCACAGCCCAGCAGATGGAGTCACTCCTGGCCAGTGCATACCATTCAGCTGTGCCCTCAAATCATAGCAAAGCCAAATGCAGCGCAGTCAATAGACTTACGCTGGTACATGCTTATTGCACTGCTCCTGTACTTTTTACTTTTATAGCTAAGCAAAAAATTTTAAAGCTGAAGGGAGGGGAGACTAAGTGGGAGGGATAATAGAAAATGATGAGTAAATTTTAATGTGTTAAATTAGGATTCTCATTTTTTTCACTCTAATTTCCATTAAAAATATAACATTGCATGACTCCTCAGCCCAGCCACAGAACATACACTTCCTTTTAAATATACAATATTTTTTCAGCATTTTGACTTTTCTACAGTATAGCATAGATTAATTTCTATTCTATGAACTATGACAGTCACTCCTAGATGCTACATTAGAGCAAAGCAATAACAAAAAATAATCAATTGAAGTAAAATGCAACGGTAACATCTGAATATTCAGAGTACCTCCATGTAAATTCTCCAGTATCTTGCACCAGGTTTACCCTCAGATGAACTAATAACTATCGTGAATTTACTTCTCGTTAGCCCTAGCTTAAAGTAGATCACAGCCATAATGTGGTTGTTTTAACTGTGTAATTGCAGCTCTGTTCTGCTGATCCTTTAGCTTCCTCACTGGTATGACTGAACATGCAGTCAGTATTTCTGATATTTAGTGTTCTTCTGTTGATCCCCGCAGGAATTACAGGAATTACAGAAGTGAGGAATGGGAGAGGAGGCATTTCCACCAGATTAATACTTGTTTTAGTCCATAGAGAAGTTTATTTTCACATAGAATTTTAGTTAATCTTGTATTTTCTATTCATCAAATGCTAAAATCCCATCTCAGTTAACACACGTGCTCTGAGTTAACAGTTCTTTGTTTTGCCTTTCCTGTACAGTCCAAGGCTCTCATTCCACTGCAAACTGAGGCTCACCCAGAAACAAAGCAGAGAGTACTGACTAACTACATGTTTCCCCAGCAACCCCGCAGTGATGAAGGTAAAAACGCCATCAGCAATTCCTACAAATGCAGGAACAGTGCTTGCTCAGGTAGTGGAGAAAAAAACGGAGGGAGGGAGAGAAAGGGGTTTCAGACATGGTTCTGTGTGTCTGTCTCTTCTGACACATAAAGCCAGTGGTGCACACATAACAGTCTGTATTTGGTCATACACAAAGGAATCCTGTTTGCAAATCCATTATTCTCAGGCCATCAGATTTACGTTTTCTTCAACACTTTTTTATTTTCAGAAGAATGGCCTTGTATAAACAATGTGAACCTGGGAATTGAGTGTGCATGGGACAGAAATTCTAGGATATGCCTTGCTGCCATGCGGACAGGCTGTTGGCCAGAGCCAGCTCAACCTGCAGAGACACTGGACCCATCTGAGGGAGCTGGGGGAGTGGGCCAGCTCCTAGACATGGGGGGGTTCAGAGCTCTGAGCCTGGCAGAATTGAGGGTTTGGCTCCTGACATACCTACGTTAAGTTAGAGAGTTTGCCCTCAGCTCCAGATCTGCCCTGAAACCCTGTTGCTTCCCATGACTCTAATTGCAGTTTTAATATTAAACTCTGTTTGTAATGGTTTGTCAGTTACTACTCTCATTGCCCCCCTCAACAGTTTTAAAACAATAACCCAAGATTACAGGATCAACTACGAACATATCTTTTTGGATGACTTCCAATCTTCTGTTGGGTGCACTAATTACTTGTTCTTGTGCATTGCTGTTTGCAATTTAACTGTAGATTTCCAGTCAGACAGTGATAGTTTTAACCCTACTTTATGGGAGGAGCAGAGACAGCAACGTATGACTGTTGCCTTTGAATTTGAAGAAAAAAAGGAAGAGGAGGAAAATGCAGGGAAAGTTAAGGTAAGTTCTATTTAATTTATTCTGGTATTCACATATTATGGACAGGGTCCAATTTACAAATCTTGAGTTGAACTATTTTTGTGTTCTAAATACCCAGAAAATACTTGTCATCATGTTTCAAGTACAGCAGTTGAGGAAGAATAAGATACCTGTTCTCCCTAAACTACACATTACCAACTTCTGCTTTTGCTATTGTTGTCTAGACAGCAAAACTTTGATTTCATAGGTCAGTTCAGGCCCATAACCCTAATGTCAGGTTCCTACTGTGACAGGTGTTTTATCATGAAGACAAAATTAAGACAAAATGTTGGGAGACTTAGGATTAATGTCCCACCACCTAGTTCTTTAGAAATATTTAGATCACATAGGGGATTCCATATTCCTCTCAAAGTGGAAGTTGACGAGAGCTTTGCAACTTCATGGAGTTACACAGGAATGTGGTTACATCAATTTTGTAACCTACCAAAAATGAAGATCAAAACATGAATATCCTCCCCCATTTATCTGAAATTAATATAATTCCAGAGTTTTCAATTGAGCCCTTAATCAGTTACATTGTTAGAAGGATATTGTCAGGACCATCTACGTTTACATGGCATGAAAATTTCTATTTCTTGAATAATATAAAGGAATTTCCCCAGATCAAACACTTAAACATTGCAAATTTTTAACTGCAGTAGGATACCCAACGTAAAATGTATTGCCAGAGGCAAAAATAATATGAGGAGATTTAAATCATATTTTAATTTTAAAATCAGCAATACCCTTATTAATAGCTATTTAACAATCCATTTAGATCTTGGAAATTTTGGATTTTTCTTTTAATATTTTTCCCAATTAGAAATTTTCATCTAACTTTTGTAACCAGAGATAATGGACTCTGCTGCTTTAGTAAAACAGAAAATGAAGTAAAAAAGCAACCTTTGCCTCACAATAAATAGATTAAACTGAAATTTTACCCCAGATGAACTGCAGATTTATGAGTCGCATATGGAAAACAGAGCATCTGGGAGGCTTTTATATTGTTCCACCACTTCTTATCAGAATTTTAACTGTGGGTAATATGGCTGTCCAAATGTGCAAAACAATTGAAATATTAACAGAGAAATAGATACCAATTTCTAAGATCATAGAATTTAATTGTATTGTTATTTGCAAGCATTATTTTAAATATTGAAATGTAATATATGAATTATATCACTTAGATAGCCATTTTGTTTTTAATATATTTCAGAACGCTATGACTGACTGAAACAAATGTTTCCTTTGAGTAAACTGTTCTTGTAAAAAAAAAAAATCCTGCATCCACTGAATGCTATTCCTGTACTTCAGTTCAAATGCTGCCATCTGCTGTATGGAAAACGGGGAGGCAAACACAGCTGAGACACAGTACCACATTTTCAGGTTTCCTAGAAACAGCACTTAACAAAAATAGCTGGCCTGTGCCCATGCTGTGAGCAGATGTCTCTGTGTGGTGTGATCCCAGGCCCAGGCGTGCCGCACCAGAGCTGTTCAGGATGCAATGGATGCTCTGGTTGCAGTGCTTCTTACCTGGGCTGTTTGCTCATCCCTGGCAGCTGCTGCCAAAGTCGTGGTCTGCAGAGCAGAGTTTGCATTCCCAGAGGCTTGCATCCATCAGCTGCAGTCTCAGCCCAGTCGCGGCAGGACATGAGAAGGGCAGCCTGCAGCCGATCGTGCTGCCAGCAGAAGGAGTGGTTTGTATCATGTGGGTCATCCATATCCCACAGGGCTGCACCTCTCCGTAATGTTTGGCTTGGCCATCCAAAGGTCAAGACAGTCTTTATCCTTTGTATTGCTGCTCCTTAGTTGTGGAAGATTCCAACACTAAAATATATTTCCTGGAGTTCTTACTTACCTGTTCTCCCTCTCACCCATAGAGAGTGGGTATAAACCAATGTTGTAGTATATGAGTCTGTTTCTGTATGAGATTCCTCTATTCCCATATACAGTCCAATGTTCCTCTCCTCCATAATGATCCTAACGTCTTCTCATCAGACCAAAACACTAAATTTTGCAGCTGATGCTATAGTTATTGCTTATATAGAGAAGAATTATTAAATGAAAAGCTAAGCAGGGAGCTAGGAGCTGATAAAATATTTCCTCCTGTCTGTGTACCTTCAAGAGAGCATCTCTCGTATCTCACTGTGTGTACACCAGATACCCATGAGTACCTGTAGTTTGTAAAAGCTGAAGGTAGAGAAATAATACTGTTCAAACCTGGGAAATCTTGCCAGGCTGTGAAAGGAAAAGATTTCCCACTGAAGGTGTGTGGGGGTTTTTTTCCCTATCATGGAAAACAGCCTTTTCGCCCAAGCCATGAAAAAAATGAGCTGAAATTCAATTACTATTAATAAGGTAGAAATGCTGGTTTGCATCCTTCTGGTATGTCTGTGCTCTTTCCCAGTAATGCCAATTCATCTGTGTATATGAATGACTGTAAAAGTGTTGTAAAGAGCTATTTGACTGAACTGTTCACCAGCCTGTGTTTAGATGCATGCACATGAACTAAAAGCTAGTTGCTGGAATCTTTTAAGAACTTAGTGTGTGTCACTCCATCCATGTGTTGCAACAGGCCTTAGGGAGGATTTAACATGTATGTTTTTAGCAGTTTCACCAGACCTTTATGGGATGAATTTGAAGGTTAACTTAAATTATCAATAGGCATTAACCACAAACATTGGTAGCGTTTTATAAAAGCATACATAGTTTTCACTTTTTATCTTTCATAGTTAAAACTGAACTCTCAGCCAACTATATATTAAAATAGATTTGGTAGTTGAAATTGTTCAATGACTTCTTCCATCAAAAATTTTGAACTTCAAAAATTCTCTTTTCAGGGTCATGCTACTTTTCATGTAGCATTAAACATACAAGAATTGTATCGACAGGGAGTACAGATTTCCTCAGTAATGATAAGTCTAAATCAGTGATGAAAATATCTGCATTCTAGTGGATATCACCTACCACAGCTGCCAGTATTTTTACTGTTTAATATTAATACTCACAGTGATATGAAACTCTTGCTGAAATCCCTGCCTATGACTTGTCTATCTCATGAAAGTCTTTCGGTTAATTTTTCCTTGAGTAGTACTTAGTGAGGAATTGCTCTATAACTTGACTTTTAGCTATGTTTGTCTGCAGACCTTACACTTAAATCATGGTCTGAATTTTGTGAAAAAGGAATTGCCTAATTAGGCCACATCTAAATACGATTTCTTTCAACCGTAAATCAACCAGAGCTTTAGTAATGCTTTACAGACTTAATTTATTTTTTCTGTTGAAATTCTTTATTAACATATGACATCATAGTCACACATTTTAACATTTTATGTTAAAGTCATGTCAGAATCTATTATCCGTAATGTTTATTCTATTGTGGTTCAGAATTGTACACTAGTATTTCATACAGTTTTATTTTCCAAATCGATCATGCTTTTGCTTCTAAACTATTCCTATCAACAGACCATATTCATTTGAATCCAAAATTACATTTTTCCTACTCATTAGGAATTTAAAATCCAACAGCTATAATAGTGAGCTATTAAAAGTAAGCTCCCTTTGCTTACCTCACGTACACAATGAGGTAAAAGCTTCTTTGTGGTAAATGATTCCAAATACTTATCACATGGTACATGTGGAGTAATTTCGAATTTCACAGCCTCATAATTGGGAACAGTTATCCTGACATGCACAGCTTGCACTGGGAGCTGTAATTTTACTCCACTGAAGGATTTTATTGCATTTCCACCCCAAATTTGGGCCCAAAGAGAGTGGCAGGCTCAGCCAGCACCTTCTACATTTCAGCTGACTGCATTTGGTGGCTGTTATGTGCACTCGAGTGGGCTTGCTGCTTCGCAGGGTGTGCTCTCTGGTTCACCTTGTGAATTCCAAGCTTGGTGCTTAAGCCATAACCATCTTTCACAGGTTGCACAAAGACGGTGGAGATAGGGCAGGTTTGCAGCATGAAGGACAGAGTGGGGAGGGCAGGAGATGCTCTGTGAAGGAGAGGGAAGCATCTGCCGCAGGCTAGGCTCAAGGGACAGACCTACAAGCTGCCCACACTCTCTACGCAGCCCAAGCAGCCTTGCTGAGGTCGTGCTTTGTTTGGATGCACGCTTCAGTTTCCTCAGCATCTCTTCTCCTGATGTGGTGTGATGTTCAGCAGACAAAATATGTCTGTAACACAGTAGGGGAGGTATAAGGAGAAGTCAACATCATGTATGTCGCCTTTCATGCTTGGATCATTCCTGACGTGGTCATTTGCTGCACCGTCTCCTCAGAGCAATTTGCTGATAGTGTAATGTCTTGCCAGATGACAAGGGGCGATATTGTCCATGAGCCTTCTCAGCCACTCTTCCCCTTTCACTCAACCCTGAGATTTTCTAGAATTGTCTTCAAATTAGGATTGCTTTGGACTTGGGACATACAATGTTTCTCTACTTCCGAGTGATAAAAATTATAAACTTAAAATGTGGAGGAGTTTTCTAGAAAATCTGTAGGTCTGTCAGTTAAAGTACTATTCAGTGTGACTTAGGGTGACTTTTCTGTAGTGGTTTGAGTCTATTTTCCTGTACTTTCTGTATAAGAAAAGAGTAAGATGCACTTGAGCACATGTACGTACATTATACATCTCAAAGAGCAAATAGCTCCCAGTAGATCAGATTCTGTTCTCAGCTGCCGTAGATAATTCAGATTAATTCAGTACACTGAACATAGCTAAATTAATTCTGCATTTACACCAGTATTGTTTTGAAAAAGTGTGATTTAATACGTCAGTACTCTCAAGTGAAGTGTAGAATTAAAATACAATACTCTCACAGGGTAAAAGGTAGGCTTATAGGGAACCATTCCCATCCATTATTTTATGTCACTGAAATTCCATTATAGGTTGATATAGTGTAACTGAGAGCAAATTTCAGTGCAAAAATTCATGAAGATAGCTCTATGTAACACATTACCTCAAATAGATTAATTAAAAATTTGAGGAATTTGCACTTAGCCATAGTACTGTAACCATGGTTTTAGTTTGCATGCTGTTTTCATTTTGTATTTGTGCTTTAATTCTTTTTATGAATGTTCAGGTTGAAATAAATCTAAAACGTTATCCCACTCCATACCCGGAGGATTTAAAGAATATGGTAAAATCAGTTCAAAATCTGGTGGGCAAAACAAGCCATGGAGTACGGCCTGAGAACTCAACACCAACTGCGAACAGTGAACAAACTGTGAAAGAAAAGTATGAGCACAAGTGGCCCATGGCACCAAAGGAGATTTCAGTGGAGGTAATGTAAAAGGATCGTTGTTCCTCTCAAGAGTTTGAGATGGGGTTTTAACATAACTCCATCAAATGATATTCTGCATCTGCTGTGAACTTCATACCTAATAGTTTCTAGCTTCATTCCGTCAAGTTAATTTAGTTTCATATTGAGTTGCTGTTTTTCCCAATACTACTGAGTTTATCAGACTGAATTTTTGGTTTTAAATCTAACTAGATCTGAATTTTGGTATTGATCTATACAAGCACTCTCCTAAATTTTAATGATATGAGAGACTTGCATATTAGCAGGGGAATGGACCTGATCATGATTTACATTTCAGACTTAAGTAAGTGTATTTCTGCGTCAAATATGTTAATGACAAATCAGTTTGTTCTGTCTGACCCTATGTTGTGGTTTAACCCCAGATGGCAACCAAGCACCACACAGCCACTTGCTCACCCTCCCTCCCCGCCCGGTGGGATGGGGGAGAGAATTGGAAGAGCAAAAGTAACAAAATTTGCGTGTTAAGATAAGAACAGTTTAATAATTGAAATAAAATAAAATAACAATAATAATAATAAATTGTAATGAAAAGGAAAACAACGAGGGGGGGAGAGGGAGAGAGAGAGAGAGAGAGAGAGAGAGAGAGGAACAGGTATGGAATATCCCATTGGCCAGTTTGGGTCAGCTGTCCTGGCTGTGCTCCCTCCCAGCTTATTGTGCACCTCCTTGCTTGCAGAGTATGGGAAGCTGAAAGGTCCTTGACTTAGTATAAACACTGCTTAGCAACAACTAAAACATCAGTGTGTTATCACTTACTCTCATGCTAAATCCAAAACACAGCATTATGCCAGTTACTAGGAAGAAAATTAACTCTATCCCAGCTGAAACCAGGACACCCTACTATGCCATTAGGTTCTGCTTCTTCTGTTCACATTACGTGTAGTAGATAGCCAATTTACCTTGTCAAAAGTTAATGAAGTCAGCAGGAGCGCTTCTTCGAGTGCAGGGAACTTTAGATCAGGCACCCCCTGAATAGCGACTTACAATGAGTTGCAGCATCTAGCCCTTAATATGTTTGCCAGAAGTGGGTCAGTATGCATAGTAACAAAGTCTTCTATTCTAACATCAATACAGTCACTGAAAGGTAAATTCCTACATACTGCAGTCTTGTGCAAAGCTGTTACAGATAGCTGAAGCTTGATCTCAGAGGGCATCTACTCATTAACATTCACACTAACGACTTACTTTGTGCAGGCACAATTTATAAATAAGGGAAATCTCTTACCCTGGCAGTATGTACTGATAGTTTATAAGCTTGGACAGGTCTACAAGAATACCAGCATTCTTGAAAGTCTTTGTGAAGTCTTAATGTTCAAAAGAAATAAATGAGGAAAAAAAATTATCACATTATCTTTTCACTCCTTTGTTATTTAAATATTATGATAAATTCATTGTCCTTGAAATAACCCTGTCTCTGGCTAGTTGTGTATGCATTAATTTTTCTTCCTCAGTTTTCCGTATCATTAACACAGATTGGCTGTTCTTACATATTCAGCAGTCACTGTAGCTGCTCTGTCAGTACTGTGTGTTTTATTTACAGTTAAATATATTCATTTCTTAAAAAAACAACCAAGTTTTCTCTTAAAATGGCTTCGGAAGACTTTCTTCAAATCTAGGCACAGGTTCAATTAGTACTTCAAACTAAAATATTTAAGTTAAATCATTCATGTTTTTATCTAAATCTGAAATTCCACCATTATTCCTTTTTACTCATTAAATTATTTCTTACTGTGTAAATCTGGCCTTTGAATGAACTTATGTTTTGTGGCATGAGTATTGACATGTTCTGCTGTTGTTGCTGAATACATACAATTTGTTTTGTATCATTTAGCTTTTGAACTTGAATATTCTTAATAACTTTCTGCAGGTTTTAATTATCCCTACTGTGAACATGCATATTATCTATCTGGAATTTGAATCAATGTTGTCTGACAAAGACATTAGGTGTTTGGTCTTGTGGCTGTGTCTGGTGACGCAGGCTTCAGAAATAGGCGGCTGTACTGGTTTAATTGCTGTTAAACTAAATGTTGTTAAACTAAAATGTTAACATCCCAGTTAACTGAGCCACAGCAGAGAGTCCTGTGAGTATGCAGAGCCCAGTGAAGCCTCCATTATGGAGGTGTAAGGAAAGAGTAAATGGCAGCAACACCATAAAATACTGCAGTTACTCTGAAATGCCAGTGTGACCACATACTGTGTTCTACCATAGAAAAAGATGAAGACAAATTTCATTCTTACGTTTCATTCTTTGATAAAAATGCGTTCACTTTTGCAACAGAAAAATAATCATCTCTAGTTTTTCTGTGAATGTACATGAACTGTTAATTGCATGGGTATCACAAAAACCAATCTATAAAAATAGTTGAATTGCTGAAGACCCTGCGGTAATTCCTGAAGTGCAATTAAATAATGTGATTGCAATTTCCTAGTTAATTTTCTACCACGAGTAACTGATGTGGGTGCATGACTATTTCCATCATATCAGTGAAGATGTATTTTTCATCTTCTATTATTATAATAGTGAAGATGGTGGAACTTTTTCAGATTTTAATTTCCCTAGTACTTAGTCAAGACTAGCAACACAACTATCTCGTCAACTCAAGAAAAGAAAAAAAAGTGTTCTTGTCATTCATACAAATAATGACACTGGGAAGATTTTATGGCCGTAAAGCAGGATGATGTATACATTTTACTCTCTTTGGCTTCCTGCATGAAGATAAAGAAGAGGTATGGGAAACTGTAGAAAAAGTGTGAATGATTTTGTGAACAATATTAGCATGATTTCAGTTGTAACACATTAAATAAAACATAATTAGGCTCCATTTGCTTTTCAGATAATTAGGAGACATGATCTCAAGCCTCAAGTTAAAATACAGTTTGAAAATGCAGGTGTGTTCTGATATAGATTTAGACTAAAGACAGTTTCTAATAAGAAGGTAATTTAATTTCAGGTGCAATGCTCACTATTTCATCCTCAGAGGCCAGATAAGCTGGTTTCTTTTCTGATCTCTTTTGGGTTTTCTTGCAATTAATTTACACATGTCTCTTCACAAAACTGTTTCTAAATAATTAAAGGGAGCATCTGAAATGAGTAAGAAGCTACATTTCAAATCCCCTATATCATCCTCCACCTTCAGTTACAATCAGCAAACAATTTCTTAAGTAATCATCAATTAAAATAAACCTCTTCATTGTCCTAAGTCATTTTGAAAGATGTGCATTTTGAACAAAAAGAAATCTGGGATAACTTAGTGTATTGTGTAGCTTTTCCATGAGAAACAATGAGAAATACCACAAATCAGCAATTAAGACCTTTATACTTGATATTCTTGATATGTATGAATTGACAAATAAACTGGAAATACTTCTATATAACTCTCAGCTTTGGATTAAAAAAAAGTCTTTTCTAGTCCAACCTACAGCATTCCATCCTTTGTGTTCATTCCTAGCAGGTTTATTAATACTGTGTAAAAAGGAGAGATTGTTATTCTTTGAGTGATGCGATGCAGATGCTAGTGCTAACAGCTAGAAAAATACCACATCAGCTGTATTGGATCTTCTGAGACCTTCATCTCATCTCAGTCAAAATAAGACCTCAATCCTTTTAACTTCTGACTTTGTTACTGTGTGGCTTTGGTTTGGGGTTTTTTTTTGGTGGGTGGGGGTGGAGAAGAGAGTTCTTTTTGTTTTGTTTTTAGTGAAAGTTTCAGAGACTGTCTTAAAAAGATCATCTTGCCTTTCCAGGAAGACTTACACACTTTTATTTCCCCCAGGGTGCCTGGCTTCAATTGATTCAGTTGATATGTCTGTTGTGGGAGCTGTTTTCCACTAATGAGATGCAGAATGACAGTCTCTCCTGATTGGGAGAGGAATTTATGCTAAAGATTTTTGGTTTGTATCTGCATGAAGCCCATACCTTGATAAACTCTTTGCAACAGAATTACCTATATTCTACCAGGAGTCAGAAATATCTTCATTATAGAGTTTTTGGTTTCTCCATGGCACAAAAGATCATTATTGAGGTTATGACCTTGGTGCCTTCTTATCAAAGGAGAAAGGAGGTAATGGTTTACTCATCTGGAGGTCTGACTCACAAGAGACCTTTCTTCAGGTAGGATGTCAAATGTCTTAAAGTTCATTTTGAGTTACTTTGACTTCTGCCTGACCTTATCTAAGTGTCTGGATTGGAGGGGCATTATTCAGGGCTGCGTCCAAGATAAAGCGTACCTTCCATAAAATCAGTCCAAGACATCACTTGACCCCCTGAGGCTACTGCTCTGTCCGTCCCCACCTGCCTGAGGACTCAGGAGGTGCAGTATTATATGTCTGGACATGGCACTCTGTACAAACTCGTATACACAGGGCACGTAGGCCTCGTTTATGTTTGATGGACCATGAAGTGGCTTTTTTGCAAAAGGCCTGAGACTCTCTCTATTGGCAGCAACCTCTGTGAGATGTATGCAGTTGGGTGTACTTCATCTAGATAAAGAGCAACAGAAGCTTGTTTCCTCCAGAGATGGGAAAGCACAGAGTGCAATTCACATATCGGGCTGTTGTAACTCAGGGCAGTACTGAGACTTCTGTCCTCACATTGAAGACCATATACAGAGCTGGACAAGAGCCTCTCCCTCGTTTATAACTGAGGATGATGTTAAAAGGTCTCCCATGCTCTGCAGTACATGACTGACAACTGGTCAGATAAGCATCAGCAGTTTATCTTTGCAGAATCCTGACCATGTCAGCTATAAACCATATGGCTTAGCCATATGAGATTAAACTACTGCAAATGGAAATTTTCATTATAAAATACGTCTTTGTAGGCTGGGGATCTCTAACTTTGATTTCTTTGGTGATAGGTAGTTCTGGTCAGTTCTTGGATGCATACCCTTGGCTGTATTTCTGATCACCTGAATAGGCAAGATTAATGTGTGCATTCCTCCAACTGCTTGCCGGTCCACCAGGCTGCAAGACAAAGAGACACATGGCAGAAACAATCATTATGCCTTACCTGCAGATGACAACTTTTTTCCAGGATCTACTATGTCTTTCCATGTGGAGTCCCAAAAACTACCTCTGTCCCAGCCCGTTCCTCATGTTCTTATGTCTCCTTTAAAAGCTCTATCATATGTCTGAGATTGCCTGCTGGAGCTGAAAAGGTGAGAGCTCATTGCATCAGTGCTGTAACACTGTGCTGGCTGCTGTATCACCTCTGCAGGTAGGAAGTGAGTTGGGGTTCCTTCGTTCTCCCACTTTCAGATTCTATATCCACATTCAGAAGTTTTCCTTCCACCAGTTCAGTTACATATTGTATTAACATCCTGTTTGGGACAATCTTCAGATCTAATGGCTACTGGAACCGGCCTTTCTGGAAGCTGCCACTGCAGCCACAAGAGTGGGAGAGATTTAGGAGCAGGTGGAAGATCCTCCACTCTGCTTTCTTCTGGGATAATCCCCTGTTTTGGGGTGAGTCTCGGTGCATTCCTGGTTTGGTGACTGAATTTTATTTAGATCAGTCTGATAATTGCTAGCTTAGACAGCAAAATATCCAGAACTGTGACTGCCTTTCACATGCTGAGCTTCAGATAGAATTTGTTTCATGATTTTTGTCAGGAGAAGACTTTTTAGTGGGACTTTACAACTATTGACGTCCAGGGCTGAGAGGTAGAAGTACTGCCATTTTCTGTGCAGAGACTGTAACGTGGGTAGGTGGCTCAGCGAGGCTTTGTTACAAAACTGCACCACTAACTGTGATTCTCAGGAAAGATGCCTATGCCTCAGTTAGCCTTGCTTGTATCTAGGGATATTCTGACAGCTCTCTGGTCGCATTTGTTCCTACACTTTCTGTGATCTCCTTTATTCTTTCGTTAAAGTTTTAGTAAAATCTGGACCGAGTAACATTTGCCTTAATCCGTTTATTTCTTTGCTTCTCCTTTTCTTTATATCCAGCTTGTCATTCTTCAGATTGACCTAGCCTTCTCCAGTTTAGAAGTGCTGCCAATCCTTGATGTATATTTAATTGTTCCTCTGGAATAGATCCATCATTAATCATCCTGCACTCCTCTGCCTTGTGTGTGCTGCGTCTGGCCAGAGCCCCGGTCTGCTCTATTTGGAGGCTTTATATTCTTTGCAAGCAGACTCAGAGTTAGGTTATTTTAAAAATTCCATATCTTCAGATTATAATTTAATGTTCTTGTGTTGTCAGCATGAATAATTGGTGATATTTCTCTTTCCCAGTTATTTTAATGGTTTTTACCACGTATTTTCTCTTGGGAAACAGCTCACCATATTTTTCTGTCCTCTACCTATATCTTTCTCTGGTTGGTCCTGAGGAATGAATTCTGACACAACACAATTGCATTTATCTCTTCCCTTTGTTCTTGCAATTGGTTCTATTAATACTTTTTTTTCCCCCTATTAGTGACCTTTTTGTTCTTGGGCTTGTGAGAAAAAAGGTCCTCTTAAACAGAGTAGAATTAAATGGAATATGATTTTGGTTTTTTGCAACATATTTCACTTTCATGGCATATTCACAAATGCCGGACTAGTTCTTTCAAAAGTGTACTGATTTCGTTAGAATAGCTGGAGTAGGGGCTAAAAAGAAAAAAAAAAAAGGATATAAAATAGAAAACTTCATAAAATCATGCACCTGAAATAAAAAACTGTGTTCATCATTATGTCAAAAATGGAACTGCTGGTTCTTCCTATCTTACAGCAAGTAGTTTTATTTTAAGCTTATAACTTTTGGAATTTTCATGGCACAATATTGGGATTCTAGGTTCAAGATAGAGAAAATAAAGAATTCCAAAAGAGTCACCTGTCTGATACAGACAACACTCATAAATCGACTCTGGAAATCCCAGACAGGAAGGAGAAAGAAGAGCATACAAAAAGCTCAGAGGTACAGCAAGAGACTTAACATGCACCATGCTTCAAAGGTGGAGAATTTCACACTCTGCAAATGCTATGCACTTTTTTATTTCTCAAAGAATGGTTTTGCATAAGTTTGTTACACTGCACTAGAAGATGATTGTGCTGCACTGGAAAAATGCTGTTGCACTGTTGTTAGCTTTGAGTTGTATGTACATCACTACTGTTGTGTAAGAAATATCATACACAACAAGGGATCTCTGCATGTGAAAGTAGTTTAAAGTCTTGAATGTATTACACCATGTAAGAATCAGTACATAGCTATATGTACGCACTGAGTGCGTTAATTAAATGGGCTGTGAAGGTACCTGTTCTTTGCTGGTTTGGTATGGTGCTACCTCCAGTAGAACACCAAATACAGAAGGATTAAAATATCTGTTGTGTAAATACAATCACATTCTTCAAGGATAAATCACATGGCAAATGCTTCTAGAAATCTCTGTTTCCACTGTTACTACAAAAAGTAGTTAATGGAGAGTAAACCTCTGAAAGTTTTCTCCTTATAAGTAAAAGCAAGTAAATTTTAAAAATATTGTAGCATTTTACATTTTAATAATGTGGTTTTGGTTTTGGTACTCCATTTTAAGTTGTTTCTCTAAATATTACATCTCTTTCCTTTATTGACTTCACTCTGCAAAATCACTGGAGTACCTTTAACAACAAAATGTCAGGGTACAGAGATCTTCATAATGTCTCCATTAGTGTAAGTTCCCTCCTAAATATGTTTCTCCTATTTCCTTCCTCATTTATACTACTAATTATTGATTTTCTCCTAATATCTCTCCAAAACCTCCTCTTTTGCACTAGATACTCTCCTTCTCCAGCTTCCATCCTCTTTATGAAATCACAGCTCATCCTCTCACTTCCGAGATGATGCATGTTTCTTGTACCCCTCCCCACAAGGATCTTGACTGGCACTGGCATGACTTTCCAGTGTTGCCATGCCCATCTTCTCAGTTCCCTTTCCATTTCATTTCCCTGAGCCCATGCACCAACACCCACAAAGTGGGTTTCCCATATTGCTCGTTCTTCCCGTTCCCTTTCCTTAAGTCGCCTCCTGAGGGCAGGGTTACCAGTATCATTCCTCCAGTAACTGTCATCCCCTATCCTGTCTCCCCAAGACACCTATCTTCAGGTCAGTGTCTTTCTCATTTCTGACCTTTCTTCCAGGGTTAAGAAATGCCATGGATTCCCTGTTTGTGTCTTCATTCCCTTCTAGCTATCCTATGAGCCTAATTGAAATGTCCTAATTTAAAATATCTCTTTCTAAGACCACATCTCACTTTCTTTCCACTTTTTAACCCATGTTATTTTCAGTATATTTCCTGTTGCTGGCTAGAACAGCAAAATAGTTGTGCAGGGCAGCCTTTGAAGGTCAAGATTTGCTGAACTCTCAATGAGAAGTTTATGAAATCCGAATCATTTTAATTTAGCAAAAAACTCTTCAGAGACAAAGTCATTTTAATTAAGTATAGCTATAGGGACAGTTGCATCTATGGAAGGACTTCTGCCACGAATAAATTAATGAGGAATACTTACTCCTGAAATAAGAAGTAATTGTTCATTCTAAATTTTTATTTATTTCTGCTGGCAGCTTGCATTTTTGTGACCTTTACTTCATCAAAAATGTTTACATGGCTTTGATGTATCTTGCAAGTTCCATCTGTTTTGTCCACATTTTCAGAATGAACACATCACCGTAATTTTTACAAGTATTTAAGTAGGACTAATTAGAATTTTCAGCTGAGAAATCAGCATGATTAGACACTACCCATATGGTGGGGTTTTGGTGTGTTGTCACATTCATGAGAAGAAGGCTGTGAAATATTTGTTCATTGCAGTTTGAAGTGGATTCTGTTTCCTATGTTTACTCTACATTATTATATTCCTCAGGATGCCTTTGGACATCCTGCCAGTGAGATGAGGATAGGGGAACTTCGTCCTTCCATGCCAGAGACTCCGTTGTACCCACCCAAACTCGTTCTTCTGGGTAAAGAGAAAAAAGGTACTAACTCAACTTAAAACCTTTTAGATGAAAGCATATGTAATGTACACAGATAGACACATTACTTAAGATGTTCTACACTTCACTCTGATTTTAAAACATATGGCTTGCATATTTGTGCACATGTGTATATATATCCATAGTATCAATTTTAAAATGTATTTTTCTGGAGTTTAGTTTTCAAATACCACGTCCTGAAAACGTTTGCTGTGTTTCGTTTCAGAATCGACAGATGAGTCTGAAGCAGATAAGATCCATTGTCTGAATAACAGCGTTTCCTCAGGCACTTACTCAGACTATTCCCCTTCCCAGGCTTCCTCAGGGTCCTCCAACGCGCATGTTAAAATGGGGTCCTTGCAGACAACGGCTAAAGAAGCAGTGAATAACTCTTTGTGGGGGAACAGGTGTTTCCTTTCTTTCTTAACACAGCTTCTGGTTGCCTTTCATCTTATGTTGTCATATGCATTCAAAGTGATCGTATGCTATCTGTTAAGGCATTCAATTAAAAAAATACAATGTTTTTACCCCAGTTTTACGGAGGTGTACGTAGCTATTCAAAGACCGGGCTGTGCAGAGTTGGCCACCCGTTCATACTCTTATAAATGGCAGTAATTCTACAGCTGGTTTTTCAACTATGTGCTATAACCATGCATTAAAAGCGCCTAGTAATTGAGCTGCAATTATTCTGCTCTGTGTGGTCCTGAGCTGTAGCTGGCTGTGCTTCAGCATAGATAGTAGAGTGTATGTCTCTCATATTATTGCTGTCCTGAGCCTCACTCTGCTCTGGACCTCCAAGAACAACACAGTTCTTTGAAAGTTGTAATTTGCACTGGCCATCAGCAACCTGAAAACACCCTCGTACCATACCGGGAACACTTTGCCCTGTCTATTCCTGCCGTAAATCACCTAATGTAGTTCCATCCTAAATGTAGTTCCATCCACAGGCTCATCCTCATTAAAGAGAGGCTGGAGCCTGCTCACTGGAGATGCATAAAATCTTGGTGGTGAAGAACACGCACAAACTGAATCTGGTATTTTTGTTTAAAACAAAGAATAATGTAAGTGTAAAAAATCTTCCCCTGCACTCATAGAAGATTATTTTAAAGCAGGAAAATACGTTCAGCTGGATTTATATGAACATGGCATTTACCCACCCAGAACTTTTGACTGACTTCTTAGTTTCTCTGTGTACGTACTTACAGAATCCGTACTCCAGTGCAAACAACTGCTGCAGCCATTCATGCCAAACCAGTGGCACAAGGTGCACATCTCATAGTACGATCCCAAAGCCAGAGTGTAGATGGGAGAATACTAAATTGCTTTATAATTGCATCTTTCTGATGACTGCTTATGTGCTCTAATAGAGGGCATTTTATCTTGTTTCATTTTGTTTTGTTTTTGCAGGCTGGCACAGTCATTTCCACAGCCCCTTGAAACAAAGCCATTGCTGAGCCAGCGGGAATCTGCTGCGGCGGGGAACCTGCCACAGCGCACTGACAGGCGCCCATTGAGCGACACCTTCGCTGACAGCTGGAACGACAGCTCACACTATGATAACACAGGGTTCGTTGCGGAGGAGGGCACGGTGGAGAATCCTAGTGCTAACCCCCTCCTGAGCACGAAATCCAGAAGCACATCTGCGCACGGACGCAGGCCGTTGATTAGACAAGACAGGATAGTTGGCATTCCCCTGGAGCTGGAGCAGCCGACGCTCAGAAACACACATGAATCTGAAGTGCCTCCTCCCAATCCTTGGCAAAATTGGACCAGAACCCCTAGTCCTTTTGAAGACAGGACAGCTTTTCCTTCCAAACTGGAAAGCACCCCCACCACCAGCCCTTTGCCTGAGCGGAAAAATCATGTCAAAGAGTCTCCTGAAATGACTAGCACTTTCACCCCAGGAATAGCATGGGAATATCACGATTCAAATGCTAACAGAAGTCTCACAAACGTCTTTTCCCATATCCACTGTCGCCCAGATCCTTCCAAAAGTGTTATTTCAATCAGCAAGAGTACAGAACGTCTTTCTCCAATGATGAGGGATTTAAAAACTAACAAATTTAAGAAGTCACAAAGTATCGATGAGATAGACATTGGTACATACAAAGTGTATAATATACCCTTAGAAAACTATGCATCTGGTAATGATACTGTAGGAACCCACGAGAGGGTGGACAAGCTCCTGGGCCCGGAGCACGGCATGCTGAGCATGTCCCGCAGCCAGTCGGTCCCCATGCTGGATGACGAGCTGCTGACCTACGGCAGCGTCAAGGTGCAGCCGCAGCAGAAGTCATCCGTCACGAAGAAAGTCTACCAGTTCGACCAAAGCTTCAACCCGCAGGGAACAGTGGAAGTCACAGCGGAGAAGAGGCTACCGCCACCTTTCCAGCTCAACCCCGAGTACATTCCCCAGCAGAGTAAAAACCTGCCCCAGGATCTGGTCAGCCCGAGGGCCTACCGCGGCTACCCCCCCATGGAGCACATGTTCTCCTTCTCCCAGCCTTCGGTGAACGAGGAGGCGGTCAGTGCCCCCTTTGCGAGCCAGGGGTCTCGGCCGGGGTTCTTGAGGAGGGCGGATTCGTTGGCCAGCTCCACCGAGATGTCCATGTTCAGGAGAGTCAGTGAGCCCCATGAGCTGCCCCCGAGCGATAGGTATGGCAGGCCTCCGTACCGAGGAGCTGTGGAGCGCCAAAGCAGTATCTCGGTCTCTGAGTCTCAGTTCCTCAAGAGGAATGGCAGGTACGAAGACGAGCATCCTTCCTACCAAGAAGTGAAAGCCCAGACTGGAAGCTTTCCAGTTAAAAACCTTACACAAAGGAGGCCGTTGTCTGCAAGAAGCTACAGTACAGAGAGTTACGGCACATCCCAAACCAGGCCGGTTTCAGCGAGGCCTACAATGGCAGCTCTGCTGGAAAAGATACCGTCAGACTATAACTTGGGTAACTATGGCGACAAGCCTTCCGATAACAGTGATATAAAGACAAGGCCTACCCCTGTGAAGGGAAATGAGAGCTGTGCTAAAATGCCCGCTGACTGGAGACAACAGCTACTTAGACATATAGAAGCTAGAAGGTTAGACAGGGTATGTTTGGCATTTCTCTGCAATTAATGCCTTTAGTTGTGTGTTTTGGTATTTCAAACTATTTGCACGTACAGTGGTAACCACCAGAATTCCCAGTAATGAAATTCTTGCATTGGTGTCAGAGGAACCGGCCCACAAAGGGGTCTGGGGGTGCTCAAAAGCAGCTGGAGTGAGGGGTAAATGAGTGACAAGGAGTCTCTGCACGAGTAACGCACCACGATGCATGTTACTAGTGTAGTAACTGCTGCAGCACTGTCTGAAATAATAAAAACCATAAAAATCTCTCCTTATCAACAGATGTGAACGTGCTGCTGAAGTCTACCACTTCAGTAATGATTTCAGAGCTTTAAAAGATGCTGGACACATCTTTGCAGTAAAAGGCAATAAAGAAAAACATCACAGATAAAAAGTAAAATAATGTATTTTAGCTTTCATATCACTGTTAGTGGAGGGGATTTAAAGGTATCTCTTAACTCTGGAAAATATCACTGGATATACACTGCCACTGTTTTTAACAAGGAATATGATTATTACTCCTTCTAGCAGTAGGAAGTTATGCTTATTTACCTTCTATACAAAACAGTACAAGTACTATAGTGCATGATTTCGATAATGATCTTGACTATTTAATGACCTACTTCATGCATCGGATTTACTTCATAATCTCAAGTGGTTGTGAAAAATTACCGTCATCAAATGCATAAGTTAGTTTCAAAATGTGTCCATATACCTATTTTATGCTAGATACTCATGAGTTTGGTGTTAATATATTCATTACCTTCCAGTTGCTCGGATGTGATGCATATTAAAATATCATTAAGGATCAAATGGATAAGCTTTAAAAACTGGCTTGAAGGCTGAAGCTTTTTACTTACTTCAGCTATTTTCCTCGTGTTGTGTAAAACTGATTGGAAAATACATAATACCTAGGCAAAATAGTGCACCCCAAGTAGAGATGTTTCTGGTGGAAATAAACACTTCCCAGATGATGCTTGTTTCAGAAATACCTTTACACTTAGTTTACAGTGTGTATTTGCTTAAGAAATACTTTATGTCATGGAAAGCTGACACTGGTGATTTTATCTAGTTAAACTGAGTTCATAGTAATCCCTGCAGGTGCCAGCAAGCTAGGTTCTAGTCGTTTGCAACATACGATAAGCAAAGCTCTAAGAAGCTGGGCTGTCTGGTGGAGCTTTTGCCGATGAGAACGCCTGGGCACTGTGATGCAGCGGCTGCTCCAGGAGAAGACGCTGCCCATCTGCCCGCAGTTGGCGAGATGCCGGTCTGTGCAGGGCCTGTGTACCCGCTGTGCTGGGCCCAACCGAAGCTTGTCCCTTGTGGGCAGCTGCTAGCCAGGGAGCAGTCGCAAAGCTCTAAGATGGTGCAGAGCCTTCTTGTATAGGGTTTCTTCCTCTGCCTTTGATGCTCTTTTATGCTAGATACATGTTTTCTGGCCCATCCATGGTTGCGCAGGTGTACCAAAATTCGGCCATATTTGCAAAATAAAGAGTTGTACCATGTTACAGACTGCAATTTTCAAACTACAGATAATGACATATTTCATCTGCTGTCAGCGTTGAAGTCTTTTATGGTATCCATTTTATGTATAACTAGCAATGTATTTGCTTCCGTGTGACCCAGTGCATGCATCAAGAAGCTATTTATTTCTTGGTACTGTTTGTTTGCTTAAACTAAAACTTTGTGAAATTAACCATATATGTGTGATACTTAATTCAATGAGCATGTGTGTTCATATCCTGTCACGTGGTTGTTTCCTCTACTCAGACCGCTGCTTACAAACACAACACAGTTAGCCTTGGCATGCTGCACTCTGGAGGTTTTTCAGCAATGCATGCCGGCAGAAGCATGACTTTAAACTTGCAGACTAAATCTAAATTTGAAAACCAAATGCTTCAAGAGCTACCTCTACCGAAAGTAAGTATGGGATAGCCAGCATATACCAGCATTACAAAATAAATTAATAATACTCCTTGCTTTTTCCTGGTTTAGCTTTTGCCTATTATTCATGCTTATACTATACACAATCCAAAAAGCAAAGATGATAGTAATACAGTTTTCCTACTCAGTAATCTTGCTTTTTGGATTAAGTAGCTCACATGGCTGTCATTACTGCTTTCTGCTCTCGTGTTACAGACTGATGCGATCATTTTCTCAATGACTTAATCTGTGCACAGAAATGGAGAACGTGTTTTGTTTTGTGACTGTTTGATCTTAGAAAAATTAATGTAGAAATGTTTAATATGCATTTAAATAGGCTTCAAGAGACAGGGACTTCAATATTTGAACATTAATTGGGTATGCTTTAATAGTTGATGAGTTTTGAGTACATGCCTACCACACCTAAACTAATTTTAAACTTTTGTTGAGTAATGCCTATAGAAAGAAAATAATTTTCTCATTTTTTTTACTGTTTATTTTACAGCTATTAATGATATTTTGTTGATCAGTACATACATACCAAATTATATACAAACAAATGTTTGATGGGAAAAGCACATATGACAAGCCAGAGAGGGACATTGCTGAAGTATTTTCACAGTATCAGAGAGGAGATGCTGAGACCTTACTCTGCGTCCTGTATGGCCACACTGGAATCACAACAGCAGCCAGTTGCCAGACACTTGCAAGCGGTCGCACTGTTGGGATCGGGTGTAATGGCAGGGGGCTACTGCAGTGCTAGAAGTGACAAGCATCGTTAAGTGTTGTACTGCATTAGCGTCAGTAGCTGTTGGTACAAATTAGCAACACCTCTGTGAGTAATTAAAGGGTAGCAGAGCACAGATCCAGGCACTGAAATGTGATCATCTGTGCTGTTAATTGCTGGACTGGCCTCAGGCGTGGTTTGGTCCAGGCCAGCTGGCACCCTCCCAGGCAATCCCTGGCTGGGGCTCTGGGGTCAGCACTGGCCAGAAATTCCCAAAGAAGGGTTCCAATGCCCTATTTAAGAGTTTAGATCCAAGCCTATTCAGAAGAATAAGATAATTTAATGGCAGCAACATGACCAGATTGTGCTGGTTGGCCAGAGGACAGGCCTTAGCTCTGCTTAGCTTACTAATACAGGCATAGGCATCATACACTGGATTTCCAAGCAAAGCTGTGATAGGTTAACAGCACACAGACACGCGCGCGCACACAAACACACAGATCATTGTCAGGTTTCTCCTGCTGTAACTTACTTTCCATACACTGTTAACTTCATTTACACCTCCCATTCAGCTGTCCCTGGATTTAAACAAGTCCTAATGTTAGTGTGTGCTTCTCTGTTGTGCAGTTGATGACATCTAGGTCAAATCTTAACTGTAGACGTTTGTGTGTGTTTGGACACAGACAACTTTCCAGTGTCAGTCATACTGTTTCTTTCTTTCAAAGAATTTGTTTGTCTACTTGGGTATATATTAATTCTTGTCACAAGTCCATGAAAGAAGTCCATTTGACATCAACTCTAAATAATGGTACTATTTTTCTACATGCATTTAGGAATAAGGTATTATATATCACTTTAAGAATTTTAGGCTGTAGATGAATATGGATACTAATATATGGATGTTTGAGGAAATTCATTAAACTGTTTAGGGTGACATGTTTTGGGGTGTGGTCTTATGGGAATTATTCTGCTTTATATTTCACCAGCATTTCGTTGCTACATATGCATATAAAATGTGATGCTGAACTGCATGAAAGGGGGTGTATTCTCTTACTGTACTGTTTAGAAAGCAGTGAAAAATTATTATTGAACAAATAACACAAATGTTTAGAATTGTTTAATTTTATTCCTTTGCATGTTCTAAAGAATTTGCATTTCTTAAGGAATCCAGGCCACAGAAGCTTAATTTACCTCTTCTTCTTCCTCTTTCTTGTGGCCTAGATTCAAGAGAGTAATGAGTGAGGTCTGATTGTCCAGTGGAAGATCAGGAAATCAAGTATAGCAATTACTTATTTTGAGAAAGTTTATTACATTGATTCTACTCCATGTATAAAATGTTTGAACTGCTGCTTTTCATTTTTTACATAGATTTAATAGGTACGTGGTTTGTTTGCAGTCTGTCCGAGCTCTGTAAATGAGTAATATTGCAAGTAGACGAATTCATTTTACTGCAGAAAATGAAAAGAAAAACCTGTTATCACAGAATTTTCCTACTTACTGAGCAAGCAGGAAGCACCCTCTATATTTTTTCTTTTTCCATTTTGAGTGCGAAGTCACCTCTGCAGATTAGTCAGTTGCTTATAAAAACAGCACAGCATTGTCTGCAGCGACAAAAGAAACACTTCAGAAGAATGCTTTCAATTTTTGGCATCCATCTCACAGTTCTTTTAAAAGTTTATGGCTTGGTGCAGTTCATTCTCAGAAGTGTACAGTACCACCTGCCTTTAGGAATAATCAGCTTATTCACATGTATCACTTAGGAGGAAAAACAGAAGTTCCCTTAGGAAGCTGCCTCACTAATCCCCTCTGTCTCTGCATGGTGAGGGCACGTAGCATGTTTTATAAATTCATCTCACAGGGAGGTGAGCAGATTTCCAGCACAGCCTTGGGCACCTCAGTCTGTGGGTGACTCTGGAAGGGATGACTCACGTCACAAAGATGATGGCCTTTCTTTTTCATTGTTTTTTACTACTACTCAGAGCAGAATTTTTTGCAGTTGTACTTTTTCATTTTAGAAGTTATTTGCTGCCCTGGTCTCAGATGATGTACCCCCTGTTTGGATGAGGGTTACGTGGGGATATGCAGCAAACAGGGCAGAGTGGCTGATTCATGAGTTTACGTAGGTACAAAGAGCCCTACCTGGGCCCAAACTGGGACCCAAATTCTGGTCTGTGGACAAACAGGCCTCAATGTGTCCTGGGCTGGGAAGCCTTGGGCAGGGACTAACCCCCGGCAGCGTGTTCAGGCAGGCTGCTCACAGTCCTGGACGCCTGTCCAGACACAAAGGTTTAGCTGCGTGCGAGGGACTTAGAGCTGTATCGTCAGGTTTCATGCATGTCCGTATGCCAGCGTACAGCTCTGGGCCCAAATTTGCCAGCGTTTGAGAGTGTTGTGCTATCTGAGAGAGCAGCAGCACTGCTGCATCAGGCACTGGCACCAGTGTCTGTTGATCTGTGAGGGATAACCTATGGAAAAAGTGCTGAGGTTGGTCTCATTTTTCCATATTTAATGTGTGTAAAGAAAGCTCTACAGGTAGGTCTTGTAGTTTCAACAGGAGACATGTTTTTCTAGTGTTTTTTAACACAAGGAAAATCACATCTTTCCTGATTTTTCCAGAAGACTTCTTGAATGATGAGAGAATTATAATGAAAGTTTTCTTTGATTTTAAATAATTAGGGTTGAAATTTTTTACTTAACCTCAGAGGAATGTGCTTTAAATCACAATTTATTTCTATTTACTTTTAAAGGATTTTTAAGCTTGCATAAAAAAAGTTCTTAATTGACTAGTTACCAGCTTTAATATTTCAAAGGAACAGTTTCATTTGTTCTTCAGTCATCTAAAGAAGTGTTTCATGATTTTTTTTAATCTAAGCTGAAGAAGAAATTGCTTGAATGACAGAGGGGAAGAATAGACTTTTTTTTTTCTTTGCAGATTACCATTAATCAGAACTGAATAAGCAGTTAACTGAATAAGCACTACATAATGCTAAGTGCTGTCAGTGGTAGTACAATGTCAGCATTTTGGAAAGCCTGACACAAAAAGCCATACCCATGTTAGCAAAATTTCCAGCTATAGTAAAGAAATACAGAGAGATAACAGAAAATCAGGATGGGACAGAAGAAGTACACATCCTCAAAAGTACTGAAAACAGGAGTAAAATAACCAGGGGAAAAAGTGACAAAGAAGAAACATGTATAAAAGGAGAGAAAAGTGGAAAATAATAACAAAAATATCAAGCTCATTTAGGAAACTTTAAATGCATGTTATGTCCATTCATATTCAGAAAGCATTTAATTACTGGTTAATATTGTACATATGATATCCTGTTAACTTAGAACTAAACTGGCCATAGCCTAGAGAGAAGTCTGTGGGAAGCACACCACACACAGTGATACACAGAGCATAGCGCGAGGTAAGAGTAGTCACAAGTTCAATATTGCCATTAAGGAATATTTTCTGAAGAAAATATAAGCATATAATTTACCTTGGTGGCAAATACTTAATAAAAAAGTTTTTGATGCTTGAATGCCCATTAAGAAAGTTCTAACTCAAATGATTAATGGCAGACTGCACGTTTAAATATGGAACTTTGCCAAAATTTGTTTCTCTGAAAATAATGAGTTACGTTAAATTAATTTTTTGTTTTCTCTCATCATTCATTATTCTCATTCTTTCTCTTATACATCTTTCAAGATCTCCTACTTGCGGAGCCCCAGAGCAATATGATTACATGTTAACAAAGTACTGTAAAAATTTAAGAGGATTTCCATTTTAGCAGTAGTGTGTTGCAGTTTAACTGGGTTGATACTGAAATAAATATGAAGAGAGAATTTTCTGTCACGGTGTGTCCAGTGACTAAAGGCTGCCCCTACCGTTTCTGCAACAGACCCCATCGCAGCAGAGCAGCATTCTGGACAACGGGCAGGAGGAGGTGTCTGTGAGCAGCCAGTGGAACCCCTACCCGCTGGGGCGGCGGGACGTGCCGCCGGACACCGTCACAAAGAAGGTAAGCTGCACGAGCAAAGCTGCTGACATAGCTATGGTTGTCTTCTTTTCCCAGCGAATCACTGGAAGGAGGAGAACAGGTTAATGAGGACAGGCTTGGGAAACACATGTTTTGTTTCAAAGTTTAAAGCAATAATCATTAGGAATTAAGGATGGTGTTTTCATGCCTGCTACCTGTTTTTGTATTTATTTATGCAGATGCTAGTAGTTACATCTGTAGTGTGTGAAATGGGCACAGTGGGCTTGACAGGTGTATTCCTGCATGTATGAGACAGCCGTCGGCTCCCTCTTGTCCTGAGAAGTCTTCATTCAAATTTTTCATTTCAATTACATTCTTCAGTTCACGACAAAAATAAATGTGTTGAGATGGAGGCCAGCCCAGTGTCTGGACAGTCACAGACATTTTGACAGAGACATCCTAGGCACTCATCATTTGCTGATAAACTCACTAGAAAGGAGTCTAATTTCTAGTACCTTGTGGCGGTAGATATTAAATTCCAGTGCTTGGATCTGGCCTGTTTCTATGAAAACACTGGCTGCTCTCTCCCAGCCCTGACTTGGCTCTGTTCATTGACTGAGAAACTGCCATTTTTTGGTACTCCGATCATAAAGCTGGAGAATAAAGGATCTCGACAAACTAAACTGTTTGTGATCAGTTTTAGAAGGTGGAGCTGCATATGTAAGCAGTGATAATTACATTGATTGTTATCTATATGGAGATCGGTCCTGCTCATTCCTGAAGTAAAGACTTACGAGTGAATAAAACTGGTGTGAAAGTCATAATGTGCACACTGATAACTTCTGTAGCATAATTAACTGTCAGCACTGATGAGGCAAATATCTCCCTACTGGCTTCACATCTCTTTATCCAAGACAGTTTCAGAAGCAGCAGCCCTTGCCCTCATACAAAAGTAGCGACAAGAGATACACATGTACAAGAGCATTGCTTGAAGATGGGAGACGAAAGCCATTGCACCTAGAGCAGCCCAGAGACTCCTTCCCAGGCACAGGAGGGTGAGGAGGAAGGCACCCTGGCATTGTTTGATGGAGTTGGCTCTGACAGCCAAGTTATTCGAAGGCTTTCTTTATCCTCTGATATGCAAGAAATTAGGATAAGAAATTTAAGAGGAGTCACTGCTTATCTTCACTGGCATATTGGGATAAAACCTGCGTTTATCCATTCGTACAATCTAACACAGCCTATGTCTTGCATTTGTGCATCATCACTGTTACTGTAATAAGAAAGTGCAGATTCTGTTTCATTCTGAATAGTTCAGTATCTCGCTGCTCAGATGTGGTAAGTACAAACATTGCATAACTGTACTGAAATCTGCTTAACTCAGTGGAGCAATCCATTGTTACATCTGTTGTCAGCTACTTTAATTATACTGCAAATATTGGACACTGAGCTGAAAATAATTAACTTTTGTGGTGGACGTTAAATAAAGTAAAGAATAGAAGCAAAATTGGGGAAGCAGTCTGCATAGTAGAGATTTTTTTTCTGCAGAATAAATAATTCCCGTTTCCAAGAAAGGCAGCTTATCCACCTCCAGCAAGAGCCACAGCGTGAATACACAAGAAGTAGTGATATGATGGCTTCAAAGTCTATTAACAGGAGTGAGAAAATGAATTCTGAAAATTTTTTACCCACCGTCCTCAGGAGGTGGTTTGCAATGTGCTGTTATGACAATACTAGTCTCCTCTCCATTGAAAGTGACCTCAAGTGTCTTGGTTTCCCAGCATTTGGGGATTAAAATACAGCAATTATTTGAAGTCAGACTCAGAAAATCTTCTATAGAATTAAACTTCGACATAACAAACAATTAAATGATGTAAATATAAACTGTAGTGTATGTTTTGTTTTTCCACTAACATAATAGTACTAGTGTGAATAGGCCTCTGCAGAGCAGAGTCACTATGTGGTAGAGCCATACTTGGGAAATCACTGGAAAAAGAGTTGGGACTTGTTCTTCCATGGGGAAGAGCG